CTTTAAAAATTCATAACTTTAAAACTACAACAGCTAAAAATATGATTTTGGTGTTATAATTATGTTTAAAATTAGCTCTATTCAACTGTGCCATTGGTTTATTTTTAAAAAAATGTTTACATTTTTGACCAAAGTATCTACTTCTAGCACTCCTAAATTAGGAAAAGTAAAGTACTGTAAAGAGTAAAGTAAAAGTTAAAAGTAAAAGTAAAGCAACAATATAAAAACATGTGACATGGGGTAAGAATTCCTGCCTTATTTAAGTTATTATTCTTTTTCTTTTATTAGTATTAGTATTAGCCGATTAGCCTTATATACTTATTATTATTATTAAGTTTAAGGCTTAAGGCAACGGCAAGGCAAGGAAATTTAAGCACGATTAACTATTTCTAGTGGTATAAAATTAAAACTTCCTCTTTACCTGATGGAACTAAAGGCCTAAAATAGCGTCTTTTTGTTCATGTACAATAACCATTTAACAAAATTGAACAAGATAAACAAAATTTAAAAAGTAGCCTACTGTTCATGATTCTTTTGTCATTTACGACGCCATTGTGGGAAAAAACAGGAGAAACTCTTCTGTCTTCAAAGATACGTTATAAAAGTTGCCCAATTGGATATATTTAGATTTAAATAATTTTTAAAAAATTTCATAGATCTATCTGCTTTGTCTGATATTTCTTTCTAGCCCACTGGATCCATGCACAGCAATGTAAAGGTGGTACTCGCAAGGGACCTCAATATCAGAGGGTGCATTCGCCCAGAGCGCTGTTTTTCCTTTGCACGGTTGTGCATTTATTACGGACGTAACGCGGCTAGAATTTTGAGTAAAACAGAGTAGGGTTAAACCTGAAAAAGACACGCAACAAAACAGCGAACGTGTCGGCAGAAAGCCTTCGTTAGCGAACAAAACAACATAAAAAACGGTATAAAAATAAGAAATAGCACTTAACTGGAAAGTAGTATCTGTGGGCAGCAATAGAAGTGTGGCAGAAGGAAAATGAGTGAGAGTTTAAATAAGCTGCGGCGAAAAAAAGGGGGAGAAAAATGTTTACTGTGATAGGTCAGAACGTGGAGGGGCGGAGCTAGGGTCAAGCTGTGAACAGAGACATAACATTAATCCCATCTGGCGTCAAAGTGCCGTAAGTCAGGATAAGTCTGTGTTCCAAATTGACCCGGCTGGCGGTGTTCGTGCTAGCCACAATCGCACTTATTGAAAAGTCCGCCTTGCCCTGGTGGTCACTACTATTGAAGTGTTTGGAGAGAAATTTTGAGGGTGGGGGTTATGTGGGAAATATTTGTTAAAACTTTAAATAAAATTGCCAATTTCCTTTCTTAAAATTTGTGAGAGTTTCGATTTCTTTCTCAATAAATAGCTGGTGATTTACTAAGACTAAGAGGTAAAAAGCGGGAAAGTAATGAAATATATTTCAGTAGCGAAATAAACACGATTGCAAACAGATGACTTTACAAAGCAATTTGGTTCCATCCAGATACCGGTACATAAAATCACTAACACTGCCTCTCATTTTACTCACCACAAACCAAAGTCAACTTAGGTGGCATCTAAATAATTAAGTGCCATCTATCAAACTAGATCTGACCAACCATAGACCATTTAAATAGCTTATTTGCCTACTATGACTCACAATTGTCGAGAAAAAGTCAATCCACTTCCATAGGAAAGGGGCTCTGGAGCGGGTGGTCCACACAGGTGCCACTTTTTTTAAAATTTATACTGGGGCGCGGCATTTTCGGCGAGCTGAAGTGTTTTTTTTGTTTTTTTTAACTTAGTGACTTAGTGGTAGTAGGTGACACAACTTTCTAGTTAACATATCGCAACATAACCCCTGGTCCGCTCGAAACGTTTCCCAGATCTGCTCATTATGAGGACACGTTACACATCACCCAACGCTTGGACATTGGTCGCTCTCTCAGTCTCTGTTGTTGATGGAATTCTATTTACGTAGCCGAGTCTCTCGCTTGGCCCCCCCCCCCTTTTTTTTTCCCATGCGCCGGTTTCCCTGGTCTGGCCTGCTGATTACCAAAGTCATTCTCTGATACACTAAAGTAATACGTCGGCATAGCTAGAGCGACGTGGCCTCCACGGCCTTGCCATGTTTCTGTTTAGTAAGGCTGTGGGCAGCAACGCAGTCGCCGCGGCTTACCCGTGTATAGGTTTACTAGCGAACCAAGTTAACACGCAGAAAAGTGAATACCGGTATATAGAACATAGACAGCTGAACCCAACTTTGAAAAGGCCTTGCTGAGATAATCGTCATTCTTGACTTGTTCTTGTAAATTTATTTTAACTGCTAATTCGCAATGATTGGTTCCGAAAGATTTCAGCTACTTTTATAAATATGTAAATGTTTTTAGTGTGCTTAAAATTGTGTACAGAACAATTTTTATTATATTTCTTGGGCAGATTTTTGTTTCCTAAACGGAGTCATTTGATTTCTTATTAAAAAAACATTAACAAGTTCAACAATATTGTTTAACATTTGTAAAAATATCTAGAAAATTCTTATCTTTTATGATAATTTCACATTGATATGCTTTAAATTTCATTTTATTTGACTCCTATATTTCTAATATTGCTTAATTGAATTTTTTTCTCTTTTTAAAGTGGTCCACTTAGGATTTTCCATTTATCTCTGACGTCAAATGTATTATAAGAGGAAAAGTATTATTACCACATGCTTCAAAATTTGCAAGGTTTTTTCTATTATATTCTCTACAAAACGATTGATGTTTTTTTTTAATTACATGTCTCATAAACAAAATTCCGAAGTTTTTATGATCGTATTATTTTTATTAGTCTTGAGGCTAGTGGGTTGTTGGGAAAATGCATTAATTTATATTCTATCAATTATATATATGTACTTTGTTGTTTTTTTTTAAATTAACGAGTGGAATGTGTTCATGATGTATGCATCCAATGTTGTTTAAGTAACCTTTAATTTTTTAAATAAGCATTTGTCAGTGTCTTTTTCAGCTTTTATCGATATAGCATTTTCATTTTTTGTTCTGACGTCAATTGATGAATCAGGAGGAATAGTTTTGGAACTACATAAGTGAAACTTTGCATGCTTATTTATATTGACATTCTCTACTTAATGATGGATTATTTTTAAACAAATATCTCAAAGGAAAATTTTTTTTTATTTATGTATTTTTTTATTAGGTTTGTGTGTTAATTTTTTTTTCTATCTTTTCTTTCTTAGTTTTCTAATTGTTTTTTAATTCATGAATGATATATGTACATGGTGTATGCATCCTATATCGTTCATGCAGCCCTCTAATTTAAAAAAAAACCACAATTTTATACTTTTTTTTCATTTTTCTCAATTTTGCATTTTCCGGATTTTTTAGGAACGCCAAATGAATTGGGAGGAAAAGTATTCTAGCTACAGCTTTCAAACATTGCATGCTGTTTTTCATTGATATTCTTTACAAAATTTAAGAGGCTTTTTTTATATACCGGGTATATTCAACTAGAAAAGGTTTATAACATTTTTACATTTGCTACTCCTGAAGAGTTCTCGAATATTTATGTGACCCCCACATACATGCTATTTGTAACACTTCCAATAACTGCTGTGTAATAAGCTTCTTTAAACTTTATGTCGATTTTATTCTTAATGTGTATGCCAAGTTTCATTTAAAATACAGTACAATAATTTACAAAACAATGCAATACAAATTTGTCTTTATTAATTTTGTGTAAAAGTCAAATTTAGCGTAAAAGTCAAAATTAGTATAAAATGTTTAATTTTTTGCAATAAAAGTCACAACAAATTTTTTTAAAATAAACTTTAGTGGATTTTTGTCTTTCTGTTTGTGTATGGTTTGTATCTACTATATTTTTTTCAATGGCTCTATTTATTTAGGGTTATCAGTATTTTATTTTCAATGTGGCATGACTTAGTTGCTTTGAAACCAGACTCCCTTCACAGATCACATATATTTGCTCCAACTCAATCATTACATCTGTACTTAAATGAAGAAATGATACAAATACAAACAATAGTTAACTGTACGAGTACCAACAAGGAATGTGAGAAAGTAAAAGGAGACAAATGGCAAAGGAATGATGTGACCTAATTGAACGAGTTTTTTGGCCGCCTACTCCTTACTGGCCCCTAATTTATTTTATGGATTACTTGAGTACACATCTCAAATAAATAACTAACAACCAAACAAAAATGTTCTCAAGTCAGTTAAGGTTTTTTTTTTCTATTAAATTTTAAATTATGTACCAGTGTGTTAGACCCAGTAGACAGATATGGTAAAAAAAAAGAGGAGTCCTCCAAAAATTAGTCTCTTTCTCATGCTTTATACAATGGCATCCTTTAACTTTAAGATGTTCATTGCAACTACCTTGTGAATTAGGTCAAGTCAAATGAGAAAAGTTGTTGAAAGGAGATTCGAGATATCAGGAAAAACAGTCAGTGTCCGCATGTATGACTCCCAGTGCCAAGGAAAAAGTTTAAAATTGGTGGTTTTGTTCTGACTAAGCCAAGCTCTCTAGAGGAATAGTTGAAATTAATTCATTATGAATGAAATTTTTATTATTTAGAATACCTAATTAATTCATAAAGTACTGTGTGATTAAATCTTTTAACTTAAACAATACACATAAATAATCTTAAATAAAGGATTTAATTTTAATAATTAAATTAATATTATTACTTTTCTAAAATTCAAATGAAAACAATAAATGTATCTAAATCATCTTCATTACTAGATTTCTTTTAAAAATAATCTACGAAAATGGCTTAAACTAAAAAAGAAAATAAGAAAGAAAAAAATCTACCCGTCCTAAGAGAAATTAACAAAGCAAAAATTAAAAAAAAAAAACTAAAAAGAATAAAACTATGAATCTATGAAATAAAAATGAGAAAAAACAATTAAAAAAAAAAATTCTCATACTAATTATTGTTATCACATCCGGCTCCGAAGCCATTTCATCTGTACGGAGCCACTCCGGGTGCGAACAGTCATTGGCGAATATAGGTACCCTGATACCTATAGATGCAGCCATATTATTTTAGAGTTTAGACCTATGCTACAAAAATGGCATTGAGACAATGGCAAATAATAACATCCTTGTGCTCATTTCTTCGAAGAAATAAAAACAAAGAAATAAGTAAGCTGGGGACTTTAATTTAAGGTGTTTTTATCCTGTCAACAGTATTGATTCCTGCGTTTTCAGCCGCTAGTTTACTAACTTGAGTTTAGACTTAGACAGTGTTTACCGGGTACCTACCTTTCCTTTTGTCATTCAGTTATTGGGATTGCACATATTCTATTTCCGCCAACTAAGGGTTTACAGGTCCACTGAGTTTCTGTGTATAAAGTGTATGAGTATGAGTTCCTTATTCTAAGAAGTGTAGTCTATTAATTATAATTAGGCCTAAGCTATAATAATTATATATAGGTCCTAATAATATTATTATTAAGTGCCATTGGAATAAGAAGTGCCAAGGCAAAGCCAAAGAAAAAATATGAAGCATCTTCTTTCGTTTTTGTAAATATTTCTGACCATGGTCATAGTCATGGTATTGTCCTGCTTTTTTCCCTTTGAGCTTGCACCTATAGTATTGGCAGTATTGCTTTTCAATAGGCCAAAGTGTGTTGTGAAATATATGCTATCATTTTGAACACAAATTTCTGCAATCTTGATGATGATTTTATAAATACATTAGATTAATGTTTAAATTTTATTCATATTTGTGTAACTTTATAATACTAATAAAAGCTGCATGTTAATATTATTGTAACATGACATTTAGTGGTTGTTGACCACAAGTATAAATCGTGGTGGATTAAGACAGACAAGGGATGATTTATAAAAGATAGGACTATTTTTGTCTGCCATATTGGCGAGCATGTAAAATCAGAGTGCTCTTAGAACATTCATGATGTTATAATTATAATGATATAAACCTTTTTTATATTTGGGTTGTGGTAACCATGAAATTCTATGAGTTTTTCTCCCAATTCATAAAATTTTTATATAACATTTTTCTCCAGTTTTGTGTGTGTCATCAATCAGACATTTTTCTTCATCAAATTCCTGCCACCACTTGAGGCAACTGTACAGTGCAGTCTGTGTGGAGCGCCATCCTATAATCGGCGCCGAGAAAAATAAATTAGAACAGCGTTTTGCAGATCTGATGGCTCAATTAGAATTAGAAAAAAGTTTTTTGTCTGACCATGAAGTTCGATTGATTAAAGAGAAGTCAGTGAATAATTTATGCTTGGTATTAGTTATAATTTTGTTCTTTGTGATCATCATTTAGAGACTTCAGTTTGAATGTTGGATTAATATTTAAGTTTAAGTCATGCCAGTTTGTTAGAATTAAAAATTTACATATTAAAATTCTAAAAAAGAATAATCAATGTAATGCTGAAGAACTAGCTTCTATATTTCAATTTTTCTTTGTATTTTATTCAGCTATGTCTAATACTAATATTATAAATTCATTTGAACATACATTTTATCTTCATTTTTGAAATCAGGCAAGCTGCTTTGACTGAAAATGAAAACAAAGAAGAGACTAACAAAGAAACAGAAACTGCTTTGGATTTGGAGGACAAATGGGAAGCAGAGTTAAAATTGTTCACTCCAGCCCCTAGGGAAACTGAAGCTGATTACAAAAATGACAGGCATTCCTTAGAGCGGAAGTTAGACAAAAGTTTATACTTGCTTGTTAAACAAAATATTGAAGGAAAAGACCACTGGATTTTACCACAAACCACCTGGCGAAATGGAGAAACTATGAGACAGGTAATTGTTTGGGGTTTTTTTAAAATTAAGATTAAAAAAAACTATAATATAACTCTTAAAGTTACCTTGTGAATATTTAATGGAAGTGGCGCATGTGTTGGTTCATTTACACTGATTTTTCTCTGGTAGCCCATACATAGAACTTCTGAATAAGAACTGACTGAGCATTAGTTTGCTATCAAGCTGGCTGAATAACTGTATAATATCAGGTGGAAAACAAGCTTGTTAATCATTTGTTAATTCATTTTATTTATATTCTCTGATGGGACTAGTTCAGTCAGAATTTTAAGTAAATGTACATCTCAAGGTATTTTTACTGAGACGTCATCTAACTTAAAATGAATAGAAAAGGGAAAGGTTGTGTAATATTGTAAATAAGAAAGCTATATCTAGTGCAGAAATGGCTGTAAAACCAATGGTTTGTATTACCTATCCACAGTTGAATGAAATTCAGTAAAATAAGCTTTTGTTGTAACTATAATGTGACCAGGGATATTGTTAGCTTGGTGTTCATGTATTTTATTCATAATTCAATCATATATAACAGTTTTTGTGTTTTAATACCCTTTATAAAAACTTTATAAATTATACCCTTAAATTTCAATTACTGAACCTTGATTTTCTTTTCTGGTGAAAAAAGTTATAAATGTATGTATTTTCAAATAAGGATACATCCAATAAAATATTATAGTTTTCATTATTTTTCTTTATCTTACACTAGTAATGACAGGGGGGATGTGTGTGTGTATGTATAGATAGATATATATCACAGAAAGTTAATGAAAGAGTATGGTCCACAGATGAATAACTTAATCACCATTTTTAAAAGTCCAAAAGGAGAACACTTTTTATCTGGGTTTTTCTTAATTTGCAGACTGCAGAGAGAGCTTTATCATCAATTTGTGGAGATGTAAAAGTGACTTTCTTGGGAAATGCACCTTGTGCATTTGCTAAATTTGACCCAGACAAGGTAGTATTTTATTTATTTTAAAATACCTATGAAAACAAATGTAGCTTTAAATTTCTAGTTTATTTTTATACCGGTACAGTTCATTTGATAAGTTCATTTGATATAAATGACACATACTGAGTTACATTTACACTAAATTATATCTTTAAATTTACTTAATGGAATGTTCTTTATGGGTTTTAAAATATTACATATGTTATTTAATATAATTGATATAAACAAAATTATTTTATTGGATATGCTTGAATATTTTATTAATTTGGATTCATCATTCTCCAGATATTTTTCTTCAAGGCATGGTACAGAGAGGGACAGGTGATCCCAAACAAAGATTTTGCCAAAGATTATTTATGGGTGACAAGAACTGAGCTCTCTGAGTATTGCTTTGGTGGTTATCATAAACAGATTAAGAAATTTATTCCACCTTTGTGACCCACTTTTTACCATAACTAATATGTTTTCTTTAACCAAATAATTGACTTATGATTAGTGCATGTCTTGGAATGTCCAGCAATATTGCAGTATGGTAATTAAATTTTGCACTGTTTCTGTAACTATTATTTTAGATTAACTCTTAAAACTGCAAAATTGTGATATATCTGAATATTATTCATGTGTGATAAATCATTTTGGGTATGTTTGTGTAAGAGTAGCAGTTTTTCATGTCAATAAAAAGAAGTTTTAAACACATGTTTATTTTCTTATATCTTTGATTCATATTCGCTAAAGCATTAGGAACAGGTTAACTTTAAAATTACACTTCATTTAAAACCAATTAGCAAACACCTTAAAGGGAAACAGTAAAAGTAGCTGCAAAAAATGTACAAGTACAAAGTTACACATAGTAAAATGGAAATTTATTAGACATCAAATTTTTTTCTCAGAGCTGTTAGATGAGATTCCGGGTGCTTTTTACTCTCTTCCAGCTGCTTTATTAAATCTCGGACAACTGTGAACAAAACACAAAGTATAATGCAATATTTTTTTTTCTCATTCCAACACTCATTTTGATATCAGGCCATACTTAAAACATGGTTTGTTAAGTCCTTAATAAAAGCTCAAATTAAAAAAACTCAAACAAAAACATCTATAACTTTATGCAATATTGAAAGATGAAGTGGCAAAAATGGTCACATTTGAATAATCAGAACAACAACATGTAAGTATAAGTTATAAGCATTTAGTGGTTATTATATTCTATTTCTATGCTATAATTAATATAATTGTGAAAGTTATAATGATAAAAAATTATTGGCAGTTTTTATTTTAGAGTTTAATCAAATGTATTCATCTTTTAAAAAAAAAAAAGTTATTTTTTTTTTACCAAGAGAGAATGTTTATTGTTTAGTAGGTTTTCCATTTTCATATGATATAATATAAATTGTAGATTTAATGTATACCATGAAAACAATCCTGATTATTTCAGTAAAGTAAAATTCTTACCTTGTTTATCTTTCTGTGAGAGAAACATGGCTGTCATGCAGAATCTTTTAACTTGAGATAAATTCAGGAGTACATCATAGATGGAAACATTAAGGCTGTGAAGAAAGAAAATTCAATTATCATTATATATTTGTAGTTTTTCAATTTCAAGGTTAGAAATAATTATTCACTTAATCATTTCTGTGGTTAATTAACACACATTTTGTAGAGCTTTATTTAAAATATTAATAAAAAGGAACTGAATTTAATGTCAAACCATTTGATAATAATACAATTATGATATGATTTATCAAGTTACACTCCTTAGTCTTATAAAAACTTACTGATTTGAGAAATTGAGCAAAGATTTCAGAATAGTATTAAGAATCTCAGCATCAAGGCACTGGCCAAAAAGTTGAGGGTACGTTACCGGTGAAATAGCCTTTGTAAAAAAAAAAAGTACATAATTTAACTCTTCTTTCGTGAAAATATAAAATAATAAAAATTCAAATAAAGCTATTTGAATGCTATGAAATAATGCTTCAAAAAATTAATAGTATAGCATGGAATTTATTTTGTTTTATATTTCACATACTAGTACCCAGAAAATTATTATTCATAGTAGGTCTCATTTGAAACAATTACAAGCATATATAGAGAGATGTTAAATAAATTCTTCTAGCATATATGAATTTAGGAATGTATTCTAATGGCTGGTTATCTCCATCATTTGCAAAAGTGGTACTTAACACAGACAGAAAATAAGCAGTTAACTTTGTTAATACTTTAAAACTGCTGTAGTTTTACAAAATAATGAATTTATTTACCAGAGAAATAGTGAAGCATAATCTGTTAATGCTTAAGTGTGTTTTATTGCTGGTAATTTTTAAAAGTCAGCAAAATTTACTTGGCTTTATGAAAAACGATTTCAACAACTAATTTAATATACCGATATTTCATTTTAACAAATTTCCTCCAACTATAATTAATCAATATGTGGTTTTAACAAAACAATGAATGATGAAACCAACCTGAAAATACTGGACAAAAGATTCAGGCTTATTTTTTAAAAGCTTGAAGTCCTTCTGGAACTGAAAAGATGTAGTGGGTACATTAAAACTGTCTCCAGATCCAACATGAGAATCTCCACCTGGCCACTTTGCTGAGACATCTTGCTCTGAAGAGATGAACTCATCTCCTTTGCCTACAGTGTTAACGACAGTGTCGGTCAATGAAATGTCTTCTTGTGTGGCATCAGAGGTGTGAGCCACATGATTGCTTTTGCCACTGGTGGCATTGGAAGAATGGGGGTGTTGTTCAGTTTCAGCTTTCTGGGATGCTTCATGTTTATCCGAGCTGTCATGTGTTCTAGTGTCTTGAGAAGTTTTCAAAAGTTTGTCAAATTTTTCTCCCTCTGTGTCTTTAATCTTTTTAGCTGTCTCACTTTGTTCCATTTTGGAAATCTTATGGCGAGGTTCCAATCCTATTTCTTCAATTGGAACAAGCCTTAGTGGAACCTAAAGAGTCCAGGAAATCAAATTGGAAAAGAAAATATTAATCAATATGTCTATAGCACTATGGAATTTAAAAAAAAAATTAAATTAAGAAAAATCAAATTCTATATCCAGAAATGGAGGGTGGGACTTGGGTTTTACTTTTAGTAAAGACATAGCCTGATAAGTTTAAGTAAGCCATTGGATTATTCACAGATTTTAAATTAGAAATATTTATATACCATATATAGCTGTACACTTCTTTGGGATTTAGGATTTGGTACAATAGTTTTTTTTTAAGAAATGTGTATCCTGGCGACACTTTAAAAAAAATAATTTGATGATGATGCGTAATGTACAATAGTAGAAATACAAATAATACAAATGAAAAGTTTTAAAAATTTGGCACCAGGTACTAGTACATACAAATAAAATAAAAATAATACAGATTCATAGATATACCTTTGACCTTTCCTCCGGAGGTTTGTAAATAGGCTTAACTATACCCATCTGACCTTCTGTCAAGGTGGTATTTAATGGTGTTTTCTTTTCCCTGTCAATTTCCTACAAGCAAAAACAAATTGACTAAATATTCATAAAATACATAAAAAATGAAAATGACATTAAAGCCACTAAGGCCAATAGCTCCCATCTACATCCTTCCAAAAACTGTTATATGTCTGCCTACTGCGCCAGATGTGGGCATGTCACACATAGACTCTTGTTCAGGGCCCATAGCAACTAAACTGCACAAATTTAATGCAGACACTCTTTTTTTTTTTAAAATAAGAAATATGCATGTAGAAAATGACAGTAATAATCTTGTAGCAAAGGAACTCACTTTAGGGATGTCCCCATGCCCAGGGAATAATATGCGAAGACAAAGTCTAAGGGACTAAATTCTACAGCAAAGACCCATAAGGTGACAGATACTGATCTTAAACAGATTTCCAAACATTTGCTGTAAATATGTGATTCCTAAGTTTTTGCCACCAGAATACACTTCAACAAAATACCTTTTCCAGCCTTTCCAGCTCTGTCTTGGCATGCTTATTTGTTGGTTCTAGGTCAAGCACTCTTTTGAAATCAGCTATTGCATCAGTGAGTTTACCCATGCCAGACCTGGCAGTTGCTCTTCTCAGGTAAGCTTTGACATACAAGGGATCAAGGGAAATGGAGATTGTGCTGTCAAGTTCAGCTGCTCCAAATCTATCAAACACATAATAATTTAAATATTGTGTACAAATCTATGAAATACATAAATTAAATATTGTGTACAAATCTCTAAAATACATAATTTAAATATTGTGTACCGGTACAAATCTATTAAATACATAATTTAAATATAGTGAACAAATCTATCAAATGCATAATTTAAATAGTGTACAAATCTATCAAATGCATAATTTAACTAGTGTACAGATCTATCAAATCCATTATTTAAATATAGCGTAAAAATCTAACAAATACATAATTAAAATATAGTGTACAAATATATCAAATACAAAATTCAAATAGTGTGTACAAATCTTTCAAATGCATAATTAAAATAGTGTCCAAATTTATCAAATACATTATTTAAATATAGTGTACAAATCTATCAAATGTATGATTAAAATAGTATATAAATCTATCAAATACATTATTTAAATATTGTGCACAAAATTATGAATATTGTGTACATTAATATAATGTACAAATCTATCAAATACACAATTTAAATATTGTACAAATCTATCAAGTACACAATTTAACTATTGTACAAATCTATCAAATACACAATTTAAATATTGTACAAATGTATCAAATACACAATTTAAATATTGTACAAATCTATCAAATACACAATTTAAATATTGTACAAATCTATCAAATACACAATTTAAATATTGTACAAATCTATCAAATACACATTTTAAATAATGTGTAAAGGATGTAAGGCAAATTCTATTAATGTATCTTAAAACACTTAAACCTGCTGTTCTTAAAACTGTTTATGTTTGTAAAAATTATAAACCCATTTAAGCTAGTTAAAATGTGTTTGTATATTTTACAGCATGAAACAGTAGTGAGGTGATAAGATTATTTTTTTTTTAAAATCCTTCCCCACAGCATTCAGTCGCAACCGGGACACTTTAAAACAGATTCTAAGACTGCTAAGGTTTTTTGGCCTGTGTTTTAATAACGTTTTCTCATTTAGAAAGAAGGAAAGGCCTCAAATTTATTTATCATTTACTAAAAATTCATGCTAGAGCACCTATCCTAAAGAATGCATTGAATGGTGTTTTTATTGTCCCTAGCAAAGTGCATTTCACAGATTTAGATTTTTTAATACAAATGTGAAAGCTTTCCATTTTTTTTTTGGTTGTTGAATTGTTTAAAAATTTATTTTTAATGAAATCAAACTTAGGATTCAGAGATGCTTCTCTACCTACTTCTGCTGTTTGAGGAGGGCCATGGCTCTGTTAGCTGGCAGTATAGCATTTGTTGGATCATACTGCATTCCTTTACTATATGCTTCAATAGCTTTATCCAAGTCACCATTTTTTAAGAATTCATTTCCCTGAGAAGACATTAAAACAAGAGGTTTTTAAAAAAAATTAAGGAAAAACATATAAATATATATATATATATATATATGTATAGTTTTATGAAACAGATTTCACTGAGTGTTTAAAAAATCATTATTTTAAAAATGATTGTCACAAGCCAGTTAACTTTTTTTAATAAAAAAAAACTAGCTTAGACATATCAACAAACCAGAAAATAAATATATACATACTTTATCTTTTTCTAAACCTGCTAAGTGTTTCTTCCTCTCCAATTCCCATTCTTCATCTGTTTCATAATCTGATGAGGAAGTTCCTTCTTTTTTGTCATTTTTATCTATTTCTTCCAAAGCTTTATCCTAAAGAGAAGACATTGAACTTTTTAAATTAAAAATAAAATATATTTTAAAACTGCAATAAAAAAATTTAAGTAAATATCAAAATTATATCCATGTATATTTTTATTCCTTTTATACACTGTCAATTAACTTCACCGTCATTGTGAAAAAATGTTCATAATGTAGTCAGCTATTACACTTGTTTTGTGATCTTTTAAGAAAATATTAACATCTAAATGACAAAATTTGTGGGGCTGTTATAAGCACAAAAATGAAGTAAAATCTGAACTAAATATGCATCTCAAACTTCTTTTTTGAAGCTTAAGGTTATTGCTACTACTGTAAAGGTGGGCTTATTTTTTTAAAATTAAATTAAACAAAACTTTAGTGTTAAACTTCAATAAAATAGTATTTTAAAAACTATTATTTATCTTATTAATCTTATGCCAAATTGTGCAACTTCCAATCACACAACAATTAAGAAAGTTTGGCCATACCACATCAAATTTATCCCAGGCACGAAAATCAGAGCCACTGATCTTCTTTGGCTTATTTTGATCTGCTGGCTTGTCCTTCTTTTTCTTCTTCAGCTTCTTTTTATGAATAGTATTTCGAACTGGAGGCAGCTCTTGAATCTGAAAAATGTAGTTGATTTATACAGTCATTTAGAATTTTGGCCTAATAAATAAATTCATGTGCAGATATTTGTGTTACGAACCCGATATTTCCAGGTTCGATAGCTAAGGGGTTACAGTTACTAAAAAAACCATTGATTCATGGATCAAACGTCTCTTTATTAACTATACAACTCTATTGCTAAACTACATTGTCAACACCATTCCTGATACTGTTGCCACTACTAAAACCCACAACACACTACACAATAATATGTCATTGCAAAACACCAGGCATATTATAGCAACATCTACCCAAATAATCTCCGAACCAACACAGAATCACAAAATACATACTAGTCCTTAACATTTTGCTTCAATAGTTTTTAAAATTCAATGAAGTAAGTATTTTATTGAATTAATCCCACGTAGATCATGAAAATTATTTTTATAAATATATGTAAAATTAGTTGACTTTTAATTCTGTAGCTAACAAAAACTGACTTGACACTTTATAACCACATTTCATTTTTTATACCTCAGTTTCATTTTTATACAATAAAAATTCTTCAATCATAAACATTATTTACCTTGTCAGATTTTACTGCTTTCAACTGTTCTTCTTTCTTTTTTATGTCATTTTCCCAATGGTTAAGCTCAGACAGATAATCTTGCAGTTCAGACTGGTTTTGGCGAACCTGTGTCTGAAGATCAAGCATCTTCTTTTCATGTTCAGAGATTGGCATAATGGATTCTCTCTAGCTGCAGTCCTGGATTGAGAGATAATTTTTACACGTTCAAGCCATATTTTTCAATGTATGGGTTGTAATAAAAATATTGTGAACAATCTAATGGAAACTAATGCTAATCTATTTTCTTTTAAAATTGTGTTATAAAGTTAGTGCTCACTAAACTGGGTGATTGCTTAAATTTAATAAAAGAATGTGATTTTGAAGAGACAATCCTTTCTAATGTCATCAATTATACATCCTAAAATTCCAGTTTGATTTTTCTTCCTAATGGACTATGCCTTTTTTTAAGGATAGTTTAAAAACAGTGTCTATGTGAAAAGTTACAAACAAAAATTAACAGAGAGACCTCAATGCACAGACTACCACAGCCTATGTAATCTGTGGAACAATTCTGTAAATATATTCCCTGTTACAGTTGGAAATAGTTCTAATCGAGTCCCACCTGAGTATGAAGATTTTACTCTGGACATTGATGTCTGTTAATGTAGTATGGAACACAAAGAAAAACATCGCTAACTCTGGCCATGCATGTGGAAACAAGGGAAAAGATCATCCCAACAAGTTCATGCCCTTAACTCCAGTGTTTAAATACAACAAACTGTGCGTAATTTGTCAATTGTTGGGTCCAAAATTAAAACCAATCAGGTCATATAAGGGTTAAAGAATAACATTCAATCAATTATATATGTAGTTTTTTAGTAAGATATGCATCCAAAGTAAGCCCTTTACACCAGTAAAAGTTACTGTGGTTCAAATCCTAATTGGGCAAATATCAATCCCAAGTGCTCAACAGGTAAAAATGACAAACAGGTAGAGTCTTGATATGTAAGTATCATATTTTATGCATCCACAATGTTAATTAGTTAATATAAATTGTACTGTATTATCTAATATATCTGAAATTTATCAAACTAAATTCTTGGCGGCCGGTACTGATATTCCAAATATATCAGCAGCAGCCATCGGTTATAGTTTAAAAGATACATTTTATGAAATTAATAAAGTTACCATATAATTAAAATAAAGAGAAAACAGATAGAAGAATGGTCATTTTACGCTTGACGACTACCATGAATTTCTGTAGACGAGAGAGCGCTTTTTGTTAAGTGGCGGATTGTGGCTAGAGATAAATATTCTCTTTTTTTTTAATTAATAATATGATGGCATGTAATTTTCATTTTAATACCGGTATTTAAAAACAAAGCTAGAGTCTGTTTGGGATACTGACTTAATTTATATGATTTACAGTGGAACTTGTAATAAGTGAGTAAAAATGTATTCAATGAAACTACAAGTTGTGTTTTCATTATTTTGAATATTTTAAAAATGATTTTAATCTTTTTATTAAAACTTATGATTTTGTCAGTACAGTGTGTAGCTGTAGCACACCAATAAATGGTTTCAGGGTTCACATTAGGTCATAGATTTAAGTTTGAAGATTTATAGCATGCTCAAATTGCAAAAAAATTTTTGAGGTTAATTTATGCTTAAGTTGGGGGGACTAAATTTAGGGGTGAATTTACCCTTGTCTTAGCATTCAAGTTAAGCAGAATTGCAGATTTTATATTTGAATGTTTTTCTCTAACCAATATTTTAATTAAATTTGCATAATTATTTGTTCTAATTTTTTATGTTTTTTTTTAAAAAAATTTAAAATGTTTTGATTTTTTACTTTTTTCCATTCATTATTAAATTTTCGTTAAAATTATCATTTTTATGCCATGCAAGTTTTAAAAATTGCCATTTTTATAATGTTTTTCTTTTAAAAAAAAAACATTCTCATCATTTTCCTTGTTAAGAAAGGTAGCTAAAAACAATACATTCTTCTTTCTCTTCCTTTCCCATCTACTGTTTAGCAGACAAGTTTTTGTACTACTTTTTGACAATGCCATCATCTTTGTCAGCTGTCATGGCAACAAAGATGGTGGCCATGTAAAAAAAAGGTGTGCACAAACATGGTAAATAGTGGGAGTCAGATAGGTACATTCACAAAAGAACAAACATAGTAATTACTCAAATGAATTAGACGGCTTATAAGTTAACAATAAGTTTATCCAGTATGCAATATGTCTGTCACAGATGCTGGCTGCAAGCTGCGAAAAATTGGCACAGTAAAGATAACTAGTAAAGTAGGTCTAATGGTCAACATGGATAAAAATAAAATTATTAATGTCCAGTGTCACACTTAAGATATAAATATAGCAGTGGGATGATTAAAGATTAGTCAGGCTGGGCTTTATTCACTATTTGGTCTACCACAAATATATTCAACACAGTAAATTTAAAGCTCTGCTTATATGCAAGAAGAGTGACATTTAAATTTAAGAGGAAAAATAAAATACTATAAGTCAAAATGGGTATTTTATGAAATATGCCTGACAAAGATTAATGGGGATTATCAAAGTCTAATAAGTATTAATAATAAACTATGAAGTAGGATCTTGTATTTTAATTTAATTTTAAATGAATTTAATTGTAATAAATGAATTAAATAAGTCGTAAGAAGGAGTAGAAAAGAACATGGACACATATGACATATTATAAACTACTACTACTCACACAATAGCCGGTAAACCAATCATAGAGATTTACGCCTTATGGCTTGTTATGACTAAACTACCTACTGAAGCTACAGACTACTGTCTTTAAATTTAAAGTGATTTGGACTATAGTCACTGTACTGTAGTGTGGATGTGGCCCACAATCACAGGGTTCATGGTTCAGGATTTACATTTACACTGTGCCAGTCTTTTAATACTTGTTTGTTATTCTTGGATGGCGGTAAAATACTGACCCAGTGGGCTCATACTATTCATAACCTTATAGGTCCGAGCTTATTCAACCATTGCCTTAAATTTCACTACCAAGTCTAAGTTTAGGTACAGTTTACCGAGTTGAGTCGATACCACCAGGCTGCCACCACTACAGCCGGTGATTGTCTTTAAGGGTTGTCCATTAATTACGTCAACACTTTTTACGCAATTTTTTACCCACCCCCCTTGTTAACAACTGCTGAAACTTTCAATGACCCCTCCCTATTTAATTATGTCAACATTTTATAACTGCCCCCTCCAAAAAAAAAAAAATGGAATTATAATATAAATAAATACATTTTTAAGTTAAAAAGGTTTTACACTAAATTTTATAATGCAGCATCAATTAAAACGTTGTTAAAGATTAAATATCATTGTTTGTCAAAGTATAAATATGACTATTGTCAGTATACCTGACAATTATAGTATAGTTTCTAGCTGCTATCATCTTCCCATGGAGTAGCCAGGTGTTGCTCTATCGTAACAATGGGCATCAGGGCCCTCTTTGGGTGGGGCAGGGGACATTAGCCCCCCTCCTCCCTAGATTTGCAGGTTTTATTTCAATTGCTATGTACTGTAATAAACAACAAGCCGACCAAGTTTTGGTTTTGCCCACCCCACCCCCACCCCCTGAAAAAAACCCTGAAAGGACACCCTTGATGGGTATCGTCTATAGTAGTTGATTTATCATTTTCATCTTGCGGAACTGATATACCAGACAAGACAACATCATCCTCATCTAACCATTAAGCACTTAAAATAGAAGCATTGTCGCTGTGAGCAATAATTGCCATTAGCTATCTCTGTCTCCTGGCAGCTACTCGCATTGGTCGACTCCTTTTTTGTTGAGGAGCAGGTGCTAATTTCTTATGCTCAAGAGGACGTTGTTGGTGCTGTTGAACGTGCTTTTACAACATGGCTTGTGATGCAAAATAGATGCTACAGATTTTTCAAATCCATTCAAGCAGCGATGTTATTATTGTTACTCACTTTTCTTTCCCCTAATTCTCAAAATATCGTATTCCTACTATATCAATATCATTTATTTTGACTTCACGACACTTGAACCTTGTCCCACATGTGCAACATGAGCGTAATCATACTGCCCTAGTCATTTGCGACAAACAGAATCTACAGGTAAAGAGATGTCAACTTTTGACTTCTCTTGCACTAACAAAGTGTGCTAACATTCTGACCAACCATCTGCAATGCTCAGATAGACACTGTTATAGGCATCCCATTTTATTTTCATTAATCTTTTCTGGTGAATGAACTTAAGCTGACCCCAAGTTCGGCTGCGCTATTGGTTTCCCTTTGACCTCGGCTATACCTAACTAAAATCTATAGTCTGCATCATGATTCGAATTCTGTTGAATATTGTAGATGCTGCGGGAAGCAATTACAATGCGTAGTCCTTCTCGAATAATCTAAAGAAACAGGCTATATAAAGCTGAGAGGTTGAACGACAGGAGATTAGATAAGACGTGAGCTATTTTGAGCGTGTGCTATTGTTTTTCTATAGGAGACACAGATTTGTTTACTGTGTGTGTGAGTTAGATATCCTTTTCATCATTGTAAATTTTTACAACACTGTATCTTCTTCAACATTGTACCAGTACAATCCAATCATTCTTCTGTAAGTCAATAGCTTTAACAGTACGTAACAGACACACATTAAATAAATCTTATACTTATAATATAGTTATAGTGTTAAAAGCCTAAAAATTATACGACTATTTATCACTATCACTATTTACACTTATAATTTTTGTTTAAATACTGTAATAACCAGTCAATTTTTTAAGATCAAAATATTTTAATAGAGAAAACATGATTGTTGACTTCAATTATAATTAATCTAAACCCCTCTCCCTCCCACCATGTCAACAACTGTCAAACATTTCCACCACACCCCCCCCCCTCTTCAATTTTGTTGACATGATTAATGGACGCCCCTGCCCTTTAGCCTTTACTGCTTTATCTTTAATCTTTATCATTCTTGAATTAAAATTTAAGTTAAGAGTGATAAAAAACGTACCACTTATTTAAATGAAAGGAACATCAGCAGTTAAAAGCAGTGTAAATTAAATAGTTCAGGCCAGAACAGTATAATACGCCCACAGTCCAAAATCAAGCTCAAAACGATGATATTGACAAACGTAGAAGTAGAAACAGAAACTGGTTGCCTTGTTTTCAGGAACAAGAATAACTCATGAAATTAATATCGCCTTTTAGCGAGAATGAAATTTATAACGAATAATAGGGTTTATCCCATTTAGTCTTTAGTAATTAAATACAGATTTGAAATTAGAATAATAAATTAACTACATTTATAAGAGATTATTGAATAAAATTGTAATAAAATGAGTTTTATTCACTACCTTGCTGTGAAATTGTTATAACATACTGCAAATGAAAATGTGCGAAATGAAAATAATACAAAATTGTTTGTTGATGGATAATTCAAAAAGAGAACAGGAAAAAATGTATTGTCAGACAGATTGAAAGTGAGAAAACTTGAAAGTATTCATAAAATATGTTTCACATCAACTTAGAATTTTTTTTAAAGATATTTGGGTAATTTCGTTGTGTCAATTGGTGTCAGTTAATTAATGGGCCTAAAATAACGTACCGATATTATAATTTTATACAAAGTGTGTCGTCAGTGTCGGTTAACACACGATTCTTGACTTGTAAGATTACTAACACTAACCGCCTAACACCGAACACTACCCACACACAGTCACTGGTCACAGTGTCACTGAGTGACACTCATAGTCTTTTTGCTTTAAATTTTTGGGGGCATCCCCAAATGACAAATGGGGATCATGTCACATTTCACATACTGTCACATACAATACATAGTTTTGATGCCATATCCTCTGGAATGCACTCAAATGTCAACAGCTGCACTGTTTTCTTGAGTTAGTCTTACTCTTACAGTAGAGTGACTTGCATGCTGCCGTCTGCACACTTGCTTTGTTTGCCCATTTCCATTCGTTCAATGAAGTGACCAGTTCCAGAGGTTCTGACATAAACAGGGCTTTTGGATGGTTTCAAGAAAGATTTCCTCCCACCCATTTATGGGTCAGATATTGATCAAGAAAGAGCAAGAATCGCTTTGGCAACAGACCTGAAATCCATTAGAGGAATAGCACCATTTTGCAATTGCAAGACATTAATTATAGTGCGTGTGAATTCACCAACGCTAAATCGATGGCATTAGTAAGCAAAGGGAAGTAACACTTTTTGCCCCTTATTTTGATTCTTTATTTTTGGACATTCTAATCCATCTCATTATCCACACCCATTTGTCTGTTATATTCTGTTATCAATTTCGGTTGGGAGACTTGAATCTCTTTCTTGATAACCCTACTCCATTGCTTTACCTGTGACATTGGGTGGATGGTTTTATTGTTGCTGAGTAGCTTTACACAACTGTTGTTTTTCCAAATCTGTAGTTGCATGGTTTATAATCTGTTTTCTTCATGTTCTTGTCAGTAGCAAGCAGTCGCTGTTGTCCTGACACCAATATCCTGCAAATATTTCATCAAGGAAAAACCCGTGAAGATATTGTCAAAGTAAATCTTGTGAGCATTTGGTGTCTCTAAAATAAAAATATTTTCAAAACAACCAATGCTCTAAAGAAGAAACGCCTTTGTCATCATCAGTGCCAGTAGCCTTGCGCTCATAGACTTGCATCTGGTAACAATAGCCTGTTTGTGACCAGAAAATCGCCTGGTTCATCTTCATCAATAATGTTGTCAACAATATCTTCGTTGTCTGACAATTCATCAACTCAATCTTGATTGGTTGCCAATCATCAAGATAAACCACCAATTATGAAAAGGAGCCTCTTTTGGATAAACACTTTTTCTGCTTATAAAACCAGCATTCCCCTCACTTGACAAAAATAGCTGCTTACCTTAAGAAAGATCTAGCGAGAGAAGCCAACCATATGCGCGAGCTAAATTTAGCATCCGCAGCACTGAAGCAACCGTGATGAGTCGTGTGCTTATTGTTGTTTCCTAAGTAGATAGCATGTGATGCCACTAGATGATTTAAAGTACATGATGGGGATCGTGGCAGTTAATGGGTTAAAGTATTTGATAGCCTGAGTTTGCACTTAAGGCTGAATACAATTCAATACCACAAACCACACAAGTATAAACACAGTTACACACTCACTTTCACTCACTCATCATTCACTGACTCTGAATGAAACACTCATCTCATTTTATTGCTCTAAAAATTTCACAAAAAAGCTCCCTTGTTAGCTGAAAAGTTCATTTCGCCTTGCTTGATAAGACCCCTTTTCAATTTCATAGCCTTTTTCTGCCTTTCATGAAGAAAACACCCACTAGGCAGTGTGGCTACTTTTCCTTTGCTGAAAAAAAGAGGGAAAGGGGAAATTGCTAATCCCATATCAAAATACTTGGAAATCCAAAGTGTATGTCTTCTCTTGTTTTTTTAACTATTGAATTTTAGGTTTTATAAATTCAAGAATGGCAAGAAATAAAAAAGAGGACCTGCACAAGCGTTTAATGACTTGGGCGATAGAAGAAATGAAATTCCAAACAACAGCTCAAAGCTCCAGTCATAACTTTCAGCTTCCATCAGAGCAAGATTTTAAAAGGTATGTAAAGCAATATCATTATGGACTTATTAAATGTGTGTGAAAGTTAACCTCTCTCCAATCTTTTATTAAAATTTAAAAATTTAGTTTTCAAATTAAGGAAATTTAATAGTCAAATATGCACAATGTAAAGAAAAATATTTTTTTTTAACTGTTGCTGATTGTTGCAAACGTTTTTGGCAAACCAGACACATGGTGACCTTTTAATAATCTCTTCAAAGCCTAGACACTCTTAGGCATTGATAATTGCAATAGCTTGCCTCCTTAACATCAAGGAAGACACTGATTGTTTGAAATCCCTTTAAAAAATGTCTACTTAAAGACCCTGTGCATGCTGGATTAAATTTGTAGGGTAGTCTATTTTAATTTTAATTTTTTTTTTTTGGTGCTCAGCTTATGTCAAAAGCCTCTTGATGATGTTTGGATTTATGTGCTAAAGTATGTCAAATCTGTCCAGTGAGTAATTCATTTATTTTATGTTACCTTCATTTAAGCATGATGCACTGCCAAACGAAATAGAAAAAAATTATTAAATGCAAAATTGTAAATCAGATTGTTGTATTAATGAGATTACAGTATATTAAAAACAAATAGAGCCATTTATTTTATGTAAAAATTTATTATAATTCAATATAAAAATGTGTTGCACCCAGAAGTTCAGAAATTATTTGTTGGTATATATTTATTTTTTTCTGTATTTATTCTAGCATTCTAGCCATTTATTATGTTGGAATTAGTTTGTGTTATGCTGGAATTAGTATTTGTTGTTATGCAGCAAAATAACATCTGATAACATAACTATTTTACAGGACAGTAAGACTTGTGAAAGGAAATTTGGCCTTGTATCCTTTATTCAATTTATGAAAACACACCTCTCTAATTACTAATATGTAGTCTTTATTGATAAGATTCAAGACTAAAGCATCAGTTCTTGTTTTTTTTATAATTTGTTGTATCATATTATGTTTGTAAATAATGTTCATTTTTACTGTTTAAGTAAAACTAATAGGCTACAGAAGCAATGGTTTAGTCTTAACCAAAATTAAACAGAAAAAGATTTTTGGATGCTCAGAGAATCTATAAACCGCAGCTTGGAGACAGCGTACAAGAAGAAGAAGAAAAAGAGAAACTTCAAAGATCAAGGTCTCTAATTGCAAAGGAACTAACTTCTTGTCTTTCAGACGTCTGCTATTTGGAGAAAGAGATGAAACAAGTCAGTAAAGAGGTGATGGAGACAGGCAAGTTTTTTAAAATAAAATAAAGTCCTTTTTATTTGTAATAAAATTATAGTATCATTTCTAGTCTTTTATTTACACATTTTATTGCTTGTATAAGATTAAAAGTTAAGATTTTTAATTTTTTGAAATGTACTTCAGCCCTAATCTACCAGAGCGTTTGTCAGCGTGTAAGAGATCTACAAAAAAAAGATGGTTTGTTAGAGGCAGCGGGTAGATTTTCAGAAGAGAAGATTGCAGTCTTAGCTAAATACACGGAAATAGTCACACTGCGCACAAAGGAGCTAGCAAAACAGGAGTAATTATTAAATTTTGTGGTCTTTTTACTTTTAAATGACTATCAAATAAATTATTTCCTTAGCCACTTATTAGATTTATTATATTGTCATGGCTAACCCAAAAAATATTCAAAACGGTAATTAAGCTCCTAAAAAAGCAAATACTTTCTTTTAAAAAATTTAAGGAAAGCTGTTTTAGGATTGACTGAGATAACAGTTTTCTGTAAATGTTCTTAACTGATTTTACCATTTATTTTGATTAAAAATATATTCAATATCATATTTCATCTAATATTAAACCATTAACAATAAGATTTATTTGTAAAAGTTGTTATAATTTTCTTTTGAATGATACTGTGAAACTAATTAAATACTATGCATATTGAAACAAGCTTTTTATCACAAACATACTGACAACATGATCATAAAACTCAAATGTCAAAGTAATATATTCTGATATTTTTGTAGTGACTTATCAGCGCAAGATTTTGTTATAGGAGGGCAAAGTAACAAAACTGACATACTAGAAACTGAGAGCCAAGTAAGAATTTTATCTGCTCCCAACAGCCAAGGATAGGGCAATACTAAATTATAAATAATAAAATTTGAATTTTAAATCTTACAATATTGGCTGTGTAATTTATATTTCATACTTTTTAATCAAAATTCAGTCTGTAAAAATGTGTCTATGTAGTGTGAATCAGGTGGTAAATCTCTTGACGGTTTACTATTGTGCAGCGTATGCTAGAATTTAAAGAAACTTTGTGCTTAGAATTGTTTTATCGAGTAGCCATCAAATTGGTGTTAACATTTTTTTCAAGCAAAAAGCTCTGAATGTTATCAATTGTCGGTCGTTGTGTTTTCTCTGTTTTCCTCTCACAGAGACATGTGCGAGCTACAGGTCAAAACATTAGCCATTTTCTACACAACATGTTTGATGGAGCATTTTCCTCTGATAAAGCAGCTCTGTAAGTATTCAGTTATTATAATAACTAGAAGATATGATCCAGTGTTGCCTGGGTTACAACAGAAGGCATTGCGTTACTGTCTACATGCTTTATAGAAGTCTTAACATCTAATATACCATTTGTTCATATGTAATTGAATCAGAGTTTGATGTATTGCATCCTCAAAGAAAAAAAATACTGCCATTTTCCAAGCCATTGAAATGTATATATAGGAAGTAGCAAATCAGCATATCCTTATATTTAAAGAAGTATTTATATATTTATCTTTTTAACATCATTGGATTTTGAGAAATTTGTATCTTCTAACATATTTTCTAAAAAGTGTAAAAACGTGTCCATGTACCATTTTAAATATCAGTAACATAGTGGATGTTGATATATTGGTATATTCATTTTAAAATTCTCAAAATCTTTTTCCTTGCTTCTGAACTGCATTATCAAAAAGAAAATTTTTACAACACAGAATTTTTATATCTAAAGAAAAACATATTCCAATATTCTTGTCTGAAACAGCCTTGTTTTTTTTTTATTTTAATGAATATTATAAATCTCATAAAAATTTACCCGGACTTTTCCATGAACTGTATTTTGTGCTTTGTGGAAATTCAGATATTTTCTTATTTTCACAGAAAATCTTAACCCATTGTTGGTCACGCCCCTGAAATTTATTTTCGGGAAATTTAAAAAATTATCCTTTTAAACAATATCTTAATTCTCATATTTAGATAAAATACTGAAAATAATTCTTTAGTTATTATATTCAGTGTATTTCTAGTTTAAAATAATAATTGAATATTTTTCATAAATGAAAGAAAATTAATATCAGTATTTTTAAGAATTCCAATTAGATTTAGGAATTTATCTTGAAAATAAATTGGCAACACTGTTTGGGTGCAGTAATAGGGAATTTTTACATTTTGTGCTATTGAACTCAGCATTACATGATGACATTAGCTTATTCTTGTATATATTAATGTGTCATGATATTACAGAAAATATTGTCAGAGTTGCTAGTGATAAGCATTAAAATGTATGTAACTTAATTGTTACTTATCACTATATATGAACAAAATGATAGTATGAATAACACAGCAAATGTATATATTAATTGGAACTTTGAATTTTTCAAATTTAATTTTTCCCAATTCAACAGAAAGAAGGCAGAAATAGAACTTTGGAAAAGTGTAGAAAAATTAAGGACATCTCTGAGTGTAACGACCATTATATCGTCCCTTATAACCAACACAGAAAGGGCAGCTAAGAATTTAAGGGAGGAAACTTTTGCATTAAACATAGCTAAAGATGTCCAAACACTAAGGTAACTTAATAGTTTTGTCCATTAAATATTTACTCTTGTATACTCTTGTTCCGCTGGTTTCTCAGCCCGAGCTTAACTTGTTGAATAATGAGAAATAATGTGCAGCACTCAATGAGGAGTTGTTGTTTTTTTTTTTGGGTTGGTTAAATACTTTGATATATTTAAATATGATGCCAAAATTTTTATTAAAACCGTCTCTTTGTAAACCCCTGATAATAATAAGCCATTTTTTAACTATTGATTAAATATACTTTTTTTTTTCTTCAGCTTTTCATATGGCAATGCAAGTGGACTCAGGGACATCTCCAAGCCACCATCTGTTGAGAAAAGTGTACGACAATTGCTAGAAGTGAGCAGATATCCAAACCTTTGAAAACAAAATGTTATTGCATTTTCAACTTACACACAGCACTCATTAACTCCTATAATCTCAAATCCAATTAAGACTCATATAATCCCAAATCCAGTTAAGACTCATATAATCTCAAATCCAAGCTTAGTTTTTTAAATTCCTACTTTCACCACAGGCTAGCAACTTACAACACGTGATAAGGTGGTTCAAAGAACAGGAGCATAAAAATGATGAGTGGAAACTGACTGTAAAATTGGAAGATTTACTGGCAGAGGTTCACAAGCATGTTCATAGGGTCATGGGGGAACACCCTCGCAATGTTCCTTTAGCCAAGTTAGTTTTCTTGTTTCAAATTTAGTTTTTAGCAATAATGTTAATTTTTATTTCTTTAGATCAGATCATAAATCATTGATATGTGACTGAAGGTTGATTTATAATGGATGATTTGAGACCATCCTATTTATATTTATTAAATCAGTAAAACAGATTGAGACGCAAATGAACCCAAAAGGTATTCTATTCCCTTATGAATGTCACACCTAACAAAAATTTTATATTAATCATTTTGAAAAGAGGCTTTGAATCTTAAGCTCTGAGAAAATAAATGTTATATCAGAAATCTGATTTTAGCTTGAATATTTTTCATTTAAATTCTGCGTTGACTCACCTATCCAGGGGTTATGTTGATGCGCTAATTCAGCTTGCTGTTGAGCGAGCTGTTGCACCTTGTTTACGGGCAGAGATTGACAGACTTGTGGAATGCATTCAGAAGGCAAAGCAAGAAAAGCATGAATTACATTTAAAATATCAGAAGATTCAGGTCTTTAGGAAAATTGTGGTGAGCGTGACAGAAAGTTTTGATGTATTTATTTTGATGTGCTATTGTTGGTTTGCAATAATAATAAGAGGGGAGACTGCCTTCAGGTTGGGGAGAAGGAAATAAAGGAAACAATCTATGGGAAAACCTGACAAAAATGACATAACAAAACAATGAATGTGTTGGCAAGAAGCCTTCTTCAGCGAACAAACAAAAGTAAAGACAATATTATAAAAATTAAAATAAACACATGTTGCAGTGTAATATTTGAGATGACAGCAGGAGAAATGTTTATCTTCAATACCACAATAGATATGTCCCCTGTAATGTTTTGGAAAATGGTTCATTCTCTTAATGTTCATTTTTCTGTGAATCCTTAACTGGTCTAAATTTAATTTAAAAGGGCAAGCTAACAGGTTTAAAAAAAACTTTTCAGGAGAAGAATCAGTTGATTATTGCAACCCTCGCCAACCAAAATTCTACTGCGTCTGTAAGGCTAGATATGCAAAGGAAGCAGGTTAGTTGTTTTTTTTTTAAAATCTTATTTATTCAGCTAGTCAAAGTATAATCATGTACATATTTTTGATATACAGATTTGTTAAAGTGTTTTTAATTTGTAATATTTTAAAAGCTAGGTTATGAACACATACAAAAATATTTAATTGTTAAAATAAAAATGTGCATTGTACATTTTTATATTTTTAAAAATGCTTTGAAAACCATCTGAGAATTGCTGGTCTCTGGTGTTACTAAATTTATATTCCATCTTAATTTCCTATGAATTACTTAAACTTAAAATATTAGACTTTAATTGGTTAATACATAACATTTTTTTTTCATTTTTTAACTTCTGTTTCATTCACAAGGTCCTTTCTTACATTGCCTCACGTGGGATTGAATCTCATGTGAATGAAGTCCAAGTTTTGACCACTGATTTAAAGGGCAGCCTTATTGCAGAGGCTCAAAAATTCTTGTCTTTGGTTTTACCCTGTCTGTTGGTTGTCTCTTTAGACAGGTAAATTATTTTTAAAGATTTTCTTTGGAAAGAAAGTTGTGGGATGAGATAGCTGTAATTCTGAACTCTCTATTGTGTTACTACTACCGATTTTCAATAGACACTGTATCAAGTCTATCCTTAACAACATTATTCTATGCTCATAGCTCATTTGGCAATGCACACTGGTAAGAAGCTGGAAATCCATCTTATCTTAATAGTTTCATTGATAACCAAAGAGTTAACAAATCACTAACCATTTATTGGAGTGTTGGACTGCAATAAAGCTTTAAAGAATATTAATTGGACACAAGCAGGCATTTGCCGAAATGTCTACAATTGTATTCATTATAATTATGATCGAGCTGAACATGTATTGTTTTATTTACACAAATTGTTTGTGTATAATTAATCTAGATAAGATATCAGCTTAGCTTACCACCCCCCCCCCCCCCCCCCCCCCCCCCCCCCGAGTTATTTTTTTAAAAGTTTGAATCCTTCACTATGTCAGACCTGGTTACTGTTACGATTTTAGCAGATGGCGGATACAACAGCCCAGAAAACTGCAGATTTTTTTTTGTTTCAAATGCCTTCTCAACTGCTCAGCACAGCAGCGTTAGATTTGACATATTTAATCAATTCTAGTTCTAGTAAGCAGCATTTGAAGTCTATTTTAAGAAGGCACTAAGCAGCTGTCCATTTGTAATACCCCAGTTTGGTTCCAGAACTCCTCTTCCCTTCTCCCAATACACCTTGCTGTTTCTTATTGGACTATAATATGTTAGCAGAAAATAAATTCAGGTTCCTTGGCTTAATGCAGAGGTGGCCAACCCATGTTAAATAAATGTATTAGTTCCACGGATGTATCACAAATGAACTGATTTCTTCATTTAATTAGCAATTATTTTTATTCTTGGCATAAAAGCACATCTAAATAATATATACCAGTAAGTCACTTTTTGTGTGACAGTAAGCCCCATTTCAGTGTACCCGTCCCTTTTTTAAATGAATTAAAAAATATTTTGAAATAAGTAATCTTAAATAAAAATTATATAAATTATGCTATTTAGTAACTACTAAAATTAAAGGATTTATATAAACACAGCTAGGCAAAGGGAACTTTATTTTCCACAAGCATTTCTTTAGCCTCTTTCGGATTAAGTGTAGAATGATGTAAAACTATATTCATGTATACACCAAAGTCCATGCCTGCATTTTGAAGTTCTAAAAGACCTCACCACCCACTCTCGCTCAATGACTTAAGTGGGTGTCCTTGTTTCCTGCTCCACAACCTCACCTTCATCTATCAATGTAGCAATGACAGACACCTTTTTATTTTGCAATAAACCTTTGCCCTGTATACAAATATATATAAATATAAACGTTAGTTATCTACTTTGGGAAGTGGCCTTTTTTATGCATGAAATTGCCAAAAGTTATTGTATAATATATTATATTATAATCTAAGTTTATTTATTTACTATTAAGATAAAGTATTTTATGATTTTGAGATGGTAAAGTGCTATTCTGAAATGATATTGTAATATTTTGGAATTTCCAGGGAAACCAGGTCACTATGTGGTGGAGTTGAATATTGTAATCTTCATTATTCATAGTTAAAAAACCCTATGATAAGATTTCATTTTTAATGACTTAATATTTCTCTAATTGCTTATGAATTTGTTCAGCTCTTTGAGATCGACTTCACAGTTTGTTTTTAAGGAAATATTTTATTTGTTTAAAATGTATTTTCATGCGTTTGATTTCAGCAATACTCGTCTGTGTGTTCTGGACCTGTCTATCTCACCAGCTATCTACAGCACAGCACGAGAAAAGCTTTGGGTATATTCTAGTGTATGCGCAGCTCTTGACTTTCCAGAGTTTAAGGTGAGCCCTGAAGCAGCATTGTTGTCATTTACAGATTGAGATTCATTATTCTACTGTTGTGGATTTTCCCATACAAGTCAATACTTCTACAGTCAACTAGTGTGCATTAAATTGGTTTTTTGTTTGTTTGCTGTCCTTAGTCCACAGACAGCCTACCTCTGTTTCTGCTTGAACAACACTGTAATCTACAAGTGCTCTCTGCCAGTCAATGCAATAGAGATCTAATGGTCAATGCAGCGCTTAGTGCTGCTAAAACTGCAGACATCAGTTCTTTCATTGGTAAGTTCTTTTTTTTTTTAAATTTATGATTAGTTTTATTTTATTTGTAAGCTTGTATGCATTAGATTTTGTGGTCTTTTTGTATACATTTAGATGTGAGCTTATCAGATGGATCAGTTTTAGATGTCTACTTATTGACTTTCCGCACATCAATTTACTTACTTAAAGATTAAATACTTATGTCATTTCACATCAAACAATAATTCACATTCAGGTTATTCAGCACAACAAGTGTAAAATTAATTTTCCATCCCTTTTATTGCTATACATTTCTAACACTATTCACTTACAGCTATGAAAATGGAATTTTTGACAGGTTGTATAGATTCACATGTTTGTACTAAAAAAAAATCTGTTCGTAATTTCTGGTGTTAAAACAAAAATCAATCTTTTTTTTTTTTAAATTGCCATTTGTGAAATGTAATTATTTTTAAATATAAATTGAATAGGAAATTTTAGTTCATCCAGGTTCAAATTTAATAATGACTTATTATTGCAAGTATGAGCAGGCAAATGAATACTAACAAACTTATTTTTTGGTCACAATAAATGCTCTTGGTGGTTTATATGAAAAATAAATCACTCCTATTGCATCTCAGGAATAACATGACACTTGCATTACAAAATGTTGTCTAACAAATACAGATTGGTGTTAACAAAAAGACTCATAAGTTTTGATTCTAAAAAAAAATTTTGAATCATCTCTTTTCTTATTAATTATAATAATTTTTGTTAACACATTATGTTGCATGTTAGTTCCAACTAAAATTTATCTTAAGAACTATTTATTTTTAGAAACTAGTAATTTAGATACTTAGTTTTTATTTTTCAGTTGAGTTTTTTTTTTTTTTTTTTTTTTGTTTGAATGAACTATGTCAAGTGAGATTTCAGATTTAATTAAGGTATTTTTTTTTAACAGATCTGTGTAGAAAAGTTGAGCAACATGACAAAGCCCAGTGTGATAAATATGTTCCACAACTAGAAAAGAGCATTGCAAAAATATCTGCTTCTATCAAGGAACTTGAGAACTTAAAAAATGCCATTCACTCATGGTAAACAAAAAATATTTGCTTTTCACTGAAATATATGCTTAAGAAAATCATTGAATCAAATATGATTATGTAAACTTTTTAAAGATAGTTTTTTGTGTCACATTTGGAAATAGTATATTAAGATGTCTTGAATGTATGTCAATGATAATCAAACAAATAGACATTTAATACTTTTTTTTAACCGAATTCTATGAAATTAGTTGCTTTGCCCCAATGTTTATATCAGTCTCAAAACAAATTAAGTCTCAGAACATATAAATTATTTTGAGGCAAAATTTAATTATTTTCTTCACAGGTGGGAGCAGCCAGCCAAACATGCCACACCCTGGGTTATTGAACAAGGTAAAACCTTTGAACAGTGGATGGAGAAATGGCGTGTAGCTGTAAATCAGATGAATAAACATTTAGAGCTGAAAAAAGACTGGCTTCACAAAAGTAGTCTTAAGTGATTAATGAGTTCCTCAGCTTGTCTTTTTTTTTTTTCAAATGTATATACTTTTTTTTTTTTTTGCTCAAGAATTAAATAATTTAATTTTAAATTTTGTTTTTGTGATTTTTTTATTTATTTTTAGGGGGGGGGGGGGGGGGGGTGGGGGGGGTTGTCAGAATCAGATGTGTCTCAACGGAGGTGTTTTGTGGACAGTTTTGACAATAGAATCATATCATAGGGGAAAAAACAAATTTGCATCCAACCAACTGCTACACTTAATAATTAATCATTACTGGGTTTTTTTTAATCAATTTGTGTATGTTGAGAATTGGGGTGTTATAAAACTAGCATGTCAACCACTCTCAAGTAATTTGCCATCAAGAGTTTCTGAAATTTTTAAAAACTAGAAAAAATACATTCGAACAAAAGCAAATCCCAAGGGCGTTTTAGAAACAAAAATTTGTCTTTGTCATTTATTCTATAAACTTAAAACTCAAAAAACTATTCCTACATTTTTAAAAGTAGAAAATCCAGATGGAGGACAGTTTGTAAAATGGGGTCAGAATAAAAAAAAAATCCCTTGTCTCTCAGCAAACTTTCTTTTTCCAGGGACCTACATCTATTTCAGATTGACTCACCTAGGTGGGAATATCATGTGGGAATCTACAGCATCAAGTGGGGAGAACTTTAAACAAATATATAAATGTATGGATGGCCAAAATTCATTTAATTCTCTCATATTAACAAAAAGTCTAAATCCAACAGATCAGCTGTGAACAATTTTATTCATATTGTTATAAGCTATCACAAAATGACAAAAGGTTATTCTTTGTAAAAAGCAAGTGGTACATTCAAGAAATACATTATACAACATTTTATAATGCCTAATATATTTACATGACACAAAATGACAAAAATATTTGGGTTTCATTTCCAAATATTGACAATTTCTTAAGATTTATTCTCCTTGAACTGTATGTTTATAATTGATCGTTTTATACTCATAAATAAGCACATCAGGGTGTTAACATGAGAAGAATAGCTTTAGAGAAAAACGTCCAATTCACCAGTGCTGCCCACTTATATCATTTCTTAACATGTGCCTTAGATATTTAGTCTTTAAATTTACCAAATTTCTTTTACTTCACTTTATTCTTACTTCTACTATATTAATGTATGTTTTATCTGATTAATTAACTGAATATACACCTTATTTCAGTAGATAAAAGGCTCTTAAGACTGAGCTTCGGGCAATTTTAGCACTCCGCAAAGCAGAGATATAAGAACTGAAGTTAATTTCTAAACCAAAATAGTAAAACATAATGTTATAAACATCCCCAAATTACATTTGCTCTGTTACATAACATCGTTTCCTTAATTAAACAATAAAATTATCATGCAGATCCTTCTTTTCCTCATGTGGAGCTAACCCTTTGGCATTCCTGGGGTAATCAGATGGTTTGCCATTAGGGCCAAACATCACGGGTGCCACTTGCAGCAATAGTTTTGCAAATGGGATTCACGAGGTATCTATAAGAGCCTTGGCTCTGGCTCCATTCCTTATGATTTTAAGCTGTGAGCCTGATACCTTTACTTCAGAGTAATGCAAATATGAAGTGTATTCCTTTTTTTTTCTTTTAATGGAAATCCTATTCAAGAACAAACATATAATTTTCTTTTTTTTAAGGGAGTTAATTTCCTAATATTTTATGCCATAACCTTCTATGCTGTCCTTTTATGTACCATCAGACCAAAAAACTTAATGGAACACTGAGCATATAGCTTATTTTTAATTCTGACATAAAATACTGACCAGAAATAATTTAATTGGATTTCAAAACAATTATAAAACTGGTTGTTCGACACTGATTTTTCAGATCAAAATTTAATTACCATGAAAAGGCCAGACAAATTTATCGGCACATCATACACACATGTAATCTCAATCATGACTTTTATCAAAAGTCATAAATGGGTAGACATAAGACATAAGAAACAAATATCATGATATTACGGAGTATGATAATAGAATGAGCAGAGGCCATAGACTGGCCCTATTTACAATTGAAACAATCTCATCTCATTCCAACAACAGTTTTTACATAAGAGAAAAATTTGATTATGATGAGGAACTTTGCCTAAGTAAAGTCCATCTGATTATTTATTTTCGTCTGGTAAGCCAAGCTTTTGCAGTGATTTTAATATTTTATGATCCTAATGCACATAATACAAATGAAGGCATATTAGATTTTGTATTTCTATAAAATACAAGAGTGATCACAAAATTTAGGAAACATAGAAGTGATGTTTTACCGTTTGGGGAATGGCCAAGACTTGTTTGAATTAATACTAGTACCAGTAGGAGAATTCCATACTAATATGATTTACAAGGGGGAAAAAAAAAAAAATATTTTATTATGAGAACAAGTAAAACATGCATTAACTTATGTTTTGCTTTCATACAAATAACAATTTTTATTTACGTTTATTTCAAGGGAAAAAATTTGTGGAAAATTAATTTAGAAAGAATTTAGTTGTTAAATGAAATAACGGTAAGATTAATTAAAAGACTAGAAAAGACAGAGTGAAGCAAGTAGCATTGATAGTTCTGTCAATAAAATACTGCTTGTAATGGCACAAAAAATGCACGTCATAACAAAGGAAAGTTGAGAAAAGCGAAGTAGAGAAAATGAAAGTAACCATGACTAATGAGTTATATTTCTTTTCCTATGAAAAGCATTATCAAAAGAACTTTAAAAAATATGTATCCATTACAGCTATATACATGTGTACATAATTTATAATATCAGGGTATGTTAGTTAACTTACAAAATGAATAACAGTCTTGGTACAAAATATTCCCTTCTTTTTTTTCTTTTTTTAAAATAATATTTTAGTGGCCAAATGAAAACTTCAATCTAAATTATGCACTGTGATGACATTAGCAAAACTCCAGCCCAAATCAGAACAAGCTTTTGGTAATAAATAATACTTTTTATGAACATTTGAAGAAATGTTACCATCTCTTAAGCCATTACTCAACAATGAAATATATATTTTCAATCCAATGCAAAATTTCACCATCAACTGAGACACCATTTCTAATACAACATTTGTCGGAAGACATTTTATGTTTCAATTTCCACGTGTCAAATTGCATGGTAACATTTACTCATAAATTGTATACATAAATTAATTTTTTTGTTTAATCCTGTGTAATCAAAACAAAAAATTATTAAAAAATTAGTTGTACAGTCAACTCTAGCAGACACAACAGTAAAATTTGGCAGTCATGATTTATATCAGAAACACTGGTTATATTGAGTACAATTTTGGCCACTTGAGTCAAACAAATATAGTATTTCTAGTTAGCAAATCTATTATTGAATACATTTATAAATCTTGATTTCCAACACCGGTCATATAATGGTGCTAAAACTTACAAGTGCATTGTATTTCTATATAGAAAAAAATAATATACCTTAAAAATTGTTCGAGTAAGCGAATAAGAATATAGTCCAACCCATACATTAGTTGCTTAGCGACATCGTGCCATTGGCTGAAGTTTAGGTGAATTAATGAAATGAAAGCTCTACAAATAACGACATCACAATAGGCAACGCAGGTGAAATATAAATTAACTTATTAACTAAATTTATTTATTTTTTCCATAGAGCAACTCAAAAAAATAATAAAAAATCCATCCCAAATTGTAAGTTTTTTGTGCATTGGCTTATTAAAATAAAAATATACAAACCATAATATAAACAACCCTGAGTCCATTTCATGAATGATATGAGCAAACTTGAAATAAAGTTTAAATTAAAGCTTGTGGACACAAAAAAGACAATTAAATAAAAAGAGTAATAAATAGATTTTGTTTTTTAAAAAACAAATGCGTGGAAATATAAATGCATCGGCCACACTTTGTTCACTTTGCTTCATACTCAACGATTCATCATTATTTAGTTACACCTTTAAGTTTTGATGAATTGAGCAATTTGATGAACAAAACAAGTGATATGAGATTTAAATACTTTTAGGGGGGTTATTTCTTTACATATAAAGCTTGGAAATAAATATTTTCTATGTGAATTTTATCTGTTACTGTAAGTTAGTCCATATAAAAAAAATATTTAATAAAAAGCAGCTGTATCTGTACAAAGAAGCATTAACTGCGTTAAGTCATTTCCATAGCATTTTTTTCCTTTAAAAAGATTTTTCCCATAATCAACAGATGCATCTAAAGTAGCAGCCTAGAATTAATCTTAACATAACAAAGACTGCAACTGTTTAGTTGACAGGCTGCTTGTCCTTGGTTTTACTCTCCGGCACTACCACAATATTAGTGGTGACTTTATGGAAAGCCTGCATCCACTGACGTTTGTCGTGTTCATCATTGGCAATCAGAGTGTGAGCCTGGCCTCGGTCCGAGTCCACAAAGGAAATTTTTATCAAATTTTTACCTAAAGAAAAGTAAATAACATTTTTTAAAACAAATTAAAAATGGTACAGTTTGGTAAAGAATGTTTAAGATGTTGTTAATTTTAAGATCATTAAATCATTTGATGCTATTCAAACTGTCACTACTAATGTTTTCTTACAAATTAAAGAGTACACTGCTTCAGAAAATGGTAATAACAAAAAATGGAATTCTAAATAAAAAAAGTCAATATGCCAGACTTTTTGAAGCAGCCAGACTAATAAAGGTGCCCCTCCCAAGGTTCTCACCTGTTTGACCCCCCTGGCCAAAAGCATTGCGGAATGAGCCAAGTTTCACCTCGCCATCGGGAAGGTCCTCCACAAGTAACTCTGAGGTGGGAATGGGTTGTCTGTAAATCTGGTACATCTGTTTGCCGTTTTGCTGGGTGGACCTTGAGACCAAAACAACTTGGTCAAACAGAAACACATAGAGTTTCTGAAAAATAAAGGATTAGACAAATGAACATTTCAATTCCACCACAAACAGCTACAAAAGTTTTTCATGAAAAATAATCACATTAATAAACTACTACAAAAAAAATGCTATCCCATTGAAGCTCCTCGCTATATTTATGCCCTTTTTTTTTTTAACAACTATGGTTGTTTTAGGAGGTTATAGTGCATGCATCAACAGTTAACTCTAAAAGAGTTGGCCTTGGTCATAATAATATCAAAGTTGTAGTCCTCTTAAAATGGTGTTTTTTGTAATCTTTAAAGTGGGGTTTGTAACATGTTTCTCTGTAGAATTTATTAATCATCTATAATTTTCTTTCAAATTGTATCCAAACATGTCATGAAGTTGCCGTTTTTTTTTTTTCCAAGTATAATAAAATATATTGGAGACTTGAAAAAGGATGAGAACCTTCATTCTAGTCATTAAAATGATGCTTGATAAATCATACAACATCATCACTTACACTTCCTTTAGTGTTCTTCATGCATCCATTACACAAGAGGGCTTGAGATGCTTGAATCTCTGGAATTTTCTGTGAATAAAAAAATTATTATAATTGTTAATGCTTACACAAAATCCACTTTATGAACACAATATTTCTATTTGTATATTGAGTAAAGCACAAATGTATTGATAAGTAAAATTAAACACCACTTTGTCCAAAGAATAAAAGTTGAAAAAAAAAAATATATGCATTTCATATCATTTTAAACTATGGTTTTAGAACAAACAGAAGATAAGATGAAAGTTTTAGAACAAACAGAAGATAAGATGAAAGTTTTAGAACAAACAGAAGATAAGACGAAAGTTTTTAGAACAAGCAGAAGATAAGATGAAATGTTTTAGAACAGAAGATAAGATGAAATGTTTTAGAACAGAAGATAAGATGAAATGTTTTAGAACAGAAGATAAGATGAAATGTTTTAGAACAGAAGATAACATGAAATGTTTGAGAACAAACAGAAGATAAGATGAAATGTTTGAGAACAGAAGATAAAATGAAATGTTTTAGAACAAATAGAAGATGAGATGAAATGTTTTAGAACAAGCTGGAGATAAGATGAAATGTTTTAGAACAAGCCGAAGATAAGATTGAAATGTTCAGTACCTGATCATCAAACAAGTAAATCAACAAAGACTTTGAATGTTCACATCTTGAGACACCTGTTGCTTCATCTGCTTCTCTGATGATTTTTTCCATAAGTTTAATCTGATTTCAAAGCGATAGAAAAAAACAATGTTTTAGTATTCACCACTTTAATAAAAAAAAAAAAATCGCTCTGAAAGTAATGTGTTTTTTATGCCTTTGTTTTTTGGGGGGTTTTCTTTGTGTGGAAAATTGTGTCAAATATCCAAATTCATTCTTATTCATTGTGTTCAGTTAACTAACTTATGTGCACCCGTATATTTTTTTCCAGTGTCTGGCAGGCCTTAATGAGGAGTTTATATGTAGTTTCAGTTTCGGATATTATTTGGTAAACAATCAAAATAGAATGAGTGACACATAGACTTACAGATTTTTCAAGGTATGTGACATCTCCACTGTCACTAGGTGTCTGAAAACAAAAATATTGCCAGTCATTACACCATAAGAAAGCTTGGCATTAACAAATCATGTTTGCAAACATAAAAAAAAATATCTTTTGTTTTTAAGCAAAAGAATTTTGGTTCACATACCAAGGCTGACAAAAATGTTTAATTTTGTTTTCTTGCGACAAGTAACTTTTAATTTTATAGTAAAATGAGCATGTTGATTTTTGTATACTTACATATTTCAGTATGCTGCGAACAAGCAGTGGATACTTGAGAAATCGTCCCCTGGCTCCATCTGTTGGTGAACAAATATCAAAATCATTACAATATTAATAAGCATCTAAAAAGAGAATCTAGGTCCTATTTCAAAGCACTTGTTACCAACATCACAATTTGATGTAAAACGAACACAATTTATGCTGAGCCAAACAAATTCTACTAATGAAACTTAAAATTATCTTGAGTTACTTTACTTTCTTATTTAAGCCTTTAAAGTGATAAAAACTAATTTCTTCAACTTATTTCATTCATTTGCACTACCTGCAGTTATATTTAAAGTTTTTATGTGTATGATTTTTAAAGAAACAGTTATAGCCTTCAAATATTTAACAACTTTGCTTAATTTAAATAAAATAGATTTAAAGGTATGAAACACAGGAAGCTTCAAATTGAGAGAGAGACACCAGATGTGCTAATAAGCTGAAGTACAGACAAAATGTTTGAGTACACAACAAGAATATTGTAACTTACCTAACAAGGACCATAGATCAAGCTTCCTACTAAAGGAGGACGCAAGGCAACGCTGGAAGAAATCATTGATGGCCGTTTCATTTTTCTTTTCATCAAATATAGACTTGGCTTTAATCTGGTTGGCACAGTATGCTATGTAGGCACTGAGTTTGTTGGTCTGTAGAGCAGTTTAATGTATTTCATTAGTTGATTGACACAAAGCATGTTGTCAAAGTACAAATAAATATAACATATAAAAAAATAGGTGATAATTTAGTAAAGTGGGACTTGCATTTTTATATGATAACTTATAATAAAGAAATATCCTATCTCAACCGAGCTACGATTTAATTTGAAATCTATGACGTGAAGGTAAAAAAAAAAAACTACCAACTTAAGCCTTTTTTTCCCTTTGATGTTACACACCACTATTGGAAAGTGTAAGCAGTATAAGGTTTCAATGTAACAATCCAGAGACTGTTTTGTGAGCAGTAGGGGAACCCCTTACCCATTCAAATATCTGTCTCCCAACATTATGTGTTGTTCCGTCAGACTTTCGCTGTTGTTGTAGTCTTGTTAACAAGTCTGAAATAGATATATATAAATATTATGAGATTTAAAAAAAATTAAAATGATCCTAATAATTTCTTTTAAAGAAAAACTGTTCGTTAACAATAAGATACAAAAAAAAGGTAAGACATATGCACAACAAGAATACAATAGCTAAAATATTGTGTAACCCATTATAAACTGTATTCATAAAAGCAGACAACAGCTCTCAATAAACTTCTTACCTCTGTGAACAGGTATGAGCTGGTCAATATTGCCAAACAGAGTGTTGACATCAGCTTGGGACATCAACCCAAGAGTGATCAAGGAATCTCTATACAGCTATAATGGGGTGGGGGGGGGGGGAATGAATAACTAATTAATTAAACTTAAGAAATGATACAATTTAAAAGATGGTTAAAATGAGTGAGGCTAATAATCCAAGCCTTAACAAATCAGGACATGGTGTTTTTTTCCTTCAAAACTCTTTAGAGCACACATAGACTATCAGCGTGGTAAAACAACAAATTATTGACTTTTAAAACTAAATTGAATTATTCTATGAAAAATTAAGAAGGTTAAAAATTTCTGACTGGGAAAACTAAAAATGTTTTTATTAAGACATATTGTATGTAACACAGATGCATGCCTGTGTCTTACCTTGGTTACATTGACTAAATCCTCCACCATGTCTCGCTCTCCTTGAAACAGCTCATAGATTGCCTAGAAAAAAAATCATTGGCTGTCAGCAATCGGAGACCTCAATAAAAAATTTAAAAAAACTTAATTGGAAAATATCCTACCAGTAGTTTCAATGAACCTCAATGCATAACTATTGGCTGCTCATTTAATGATTGACCCACCTCCTGCCGTTTAATATCTGTGTTCGACATGGCTGGAATTGACTTGCAGTTCTTCCCCCCTGCCACCGAGTCCATCCATGTCAACTGCTGTCGCCTCTTTGCGGGGGAAGGCTGTGGTGGCTTGTAAGGTGACGCAGGCTGTCGCACTGGCGAGCTGGGCACCTTGAAGCCATCACTGTCCTGCTGAAGTAGCAAACCAATATTAGAAGTAAGAACTGGGTTAGCTATGTACACTTGGAATTAATGTTATAGTGAATGAATATTATGTTATCCTTGTATTCACATTTACAGAATCAAATTGACAGTTTCATGCATTTTTAAAATAAATAATGCCAAAACTATTAAAATAGTTGTCTTTGTTATGTCATCCTTTGATGATGAAATGGAGAGGAGGGTCCAAACATAATGATTTATTTAAAAATTCATGGTATACGTTTTAGTCTTACTGTCTTTTTTTTAAAATCAAAATAGTTTCATAAAGTTTACACAACCCTTATTGAAATAGAAAGAAAATACCCACTCACAGAATTACAATTCAAATATGCAATTGAAATTTTAAATTTCTGGTATATAAAAATAGTTTACTGAAGACCTTGTACACTCTCAAGATTGCAGACGTTGGGAGCAAAACTTAAAATCACACAGAAAGAGATTGATAACACAAGCTGAATTACCGGTACTGGATAAAATAACTGAAATTTCACAGTTCTTGCTAACATATCACAGTGCTTGTTGCATACTTACATGTTTATGTTTGCCTGGAGATATTAGGTTAACAAGTGATGCTGATACTCTTAACAATGAGCGTTTGGATTTTTTCTGAAAGAAAAACAAAAAGAGTATTTGATTTAATATCAAAGAGCTATGTGGAGCAAGATGAAAACAGAGGCAAGGAAGGCTCTGTGGTGTTATACATTTTCACCCGCAGTACTTTGTTTCAAGACTCTATTTTAAAAAATGTTGTTAGTTAATTAATTTTATTTTTTAAATTTCAGTCAAGCATGGATGAAATACACAAAATAAGCATTTTTTTTAAATTTCATTTTAGTAAACGTAAGTAAGAATATAGCAAACCCCCAAAATACCCCCCTCCCCCATTTTTTCCCCCATAATTATTAAGTAGAGAAAATAAAAGCCATAATGAAAAAGTAAAGTAAGAAGGTTAGTGTAAGACTCTAAAAATAAATTAAAGGATGTTCTAATTTCTTCAATCCCCCCCCACCCCCAATAATACAACACAAGATGCCCCCGCCCCCCCCCCCCAAAAACACAACACAAAAGCCCCCCCCCCCCCCCCCCCCAAAAAAAAAAACACAAAAAAAAAAACACAAACATTAAAAAAGAAAACAACAAACAACTAAAACATTTCTCTACATTGCACCAGTTGAGTTGATAAGATTATGTCCTACTATTGATTCATTCATTTCTATTCTGTCATTGAGGGAGATGAGTTGATAAGATTATGTCCTACTATTGATTCATTCATTTCTATTCTGTCAGTGAACGAGTTGAGTTTATAAGATTATGTCCTACTATTGACACAATCATTTCTATTCTGTCATTGAGGGAGATGAGTTGATAAGATTAGGTCCTACTATTGATACATTCATTTCTGTTCTGTCAGTGAACAAGTTGAGTTGATAAGATTAGGTCCTACTATTGACACAATCATTTCTATTCTGTCATTGAGGGAGATGAGTTGATAAGATTAGGTCCTACTATTGATACATTCATTTCTATTCTTTCATTGAACAAGTTGAGTTGATAAGATTATGTCCTACTATTGATTCATTCATTTCTATTCTGTCATTGAGGGAGATGAGTTGACAAGATTATGTCCTTCTATTGTTACATTCATTTCTATTCTGTCAGTGAACAAGTTGAGTTGATAAGATTATGTCCTACTATTGATACAATCATTTTTGTTCTGTCATTGAATGAGTTAAGTTGATAAGATTATGCCCTACTATTGACACAATCATTTCTATTATGTCAGTGAACAAGTTGAGGTGATAAGATTATGTCCTACTATTGACACAATCATTTCTATTCTTTCATTGAACAAGTTGAGTTGATAAGATTATGTCCTACTATTGATACACTCATTTCTATTCGGTCATTGAACAAGTTGAGTTGATAAGAGTATGCCCTACTATTGATACAATCATTTTTATTCAGTCGTTTTCAAATATTTAACCCACAATAAATAGACATGTATTTTTAAATGACATAAGAATGAAAATTACATTTATGGATGGGGGCCAAGAAAAAATATATAATCCCTAGAAATTAGTAAGGATAATGATAACCAAGCTTGAGTTAATCGCATAAATACGGATAAGACATCACATTAAAATATTGATACACCATCCACACGAAAGTGACGGATGACAGCGATGTGTTTACCTGCCTGACGGACAAGAACCGAACGCGGCAGCTCTCGTTTTCGTCTCCACTCCCCTCTCCCGTATCCACGTCACTGCTGCTGTTTCGCCTCTTCTTGGGCTTCAGCTCCGGGCCCGCGTCGGGCCTGGGGCCCCCGTCTTCACGCCTTGGGGGCCCCTCGCCACCCTTCATGCCACCCCCATCAGCCCGAGCGTTATTTTCTTTCTCCAGATCTCTGCCGCCTCCCGCCAACGACTCGGATGTGAATGTCACTTTGCGGGGCGTCGCGCTGGATTAAATCACTCACACCGGCTTGACGCGAGTCTACACAGATATAAGCCGATGAGGTGCAACACTTTAAAAAAACGTCCAGTTAACTGTAAAAATTCAGATATACTGTACAGAGCACAGGCAATGATGTGTGTGGGTTTTTTTTCTTGTCTTTCCAGATATTTCAATTTCTTGGTTGCAGGACCGTGAAAAGCCTTGTAAAAATATATATAAATATTGAAGACACTAAAGTTTGTAATGAAATGTGCTCACAAAGTTGTGACGACAATCTCTCGACTAGATGCTGCACTTGGTAGTTGTTGCTGATCCTACTGCCACAGAACTACGCTTAATATCCCAGAGGCAGCACACAAATAAAGACGTGCGTCAAAGGAGCCGAATCAGTTTATTTACCTTGTTTATTTATTCTTATTTCTTTCCTCCCAAAAAACTGCTTTGGAAATCAATCAGACGGCGGAGTTTGCTGAGTAGGCCGACTTATGCCTGATTTATGAAGGGGCCACAGTTCGAGCTAGGTCATATAAATCAATGAATGATCGTCTGCTGGTCCGAGATTATTCTGTCCTCGCGTATCTCCTTTTTTTTTGTTTTTTTTTTTGTTGTTGTTGCAACAGCTGTGATTGAATAATGAAAACGTGTCCTCCGCGGTGTGACTCACTCGACCGTGATCTGGAGATGCGTCTCGATATAGCGATAGAAGCGAGTTTATTCTTGAAAGTGTTCCTCTCCTGGTTTGGCCCCGACGGGCAGGGTTATCTCCAATGTTGTAGATGCGGACGAGATGTGCTCGGGCGCTTTCTGGCGATGTCCAACAAAAAGTTCTTATAGAGACGCTCGTGTGACGAACACATCAATATACGCCACACACATGCACACAAAAATCGCTTACATCAGTTACCAAATCCAGTTTGACTTATTGAAATTTAAGCGTAGAATGATCTAGGTAAGCTAAGTCTTCATTAACAGAAATACATTTTTTTCCCTCGGGCACAGCTTATATAACCGTCAGGTTTTGTTGGGTTGTTTTTTCAATTCCCGCAGAAACGTGACGGACGGGCCGTTATGTAAACACTCCACTGTTGGTGTTGGTGATGTCAACAATAACTGCGACGATTGCTGGCACCGTTGCTTACGGTACCACCGGGTGTTTCTATAGTAGCGTACAGCGTCACGGCAAACAGTTGTATAGCAACGTGACCGTCTGCGTCCACAGCCAGGCGTGGGGGGGGGG